TTCACTTAAAGAAAAGGGGGAAAGGGTTAAAACTTAAAACGTACAGGACGGGTTTTGCGACTGAGAGCGACATTGATAAGAAAACCACTCGCAATGGACAAGAGGATCCCACCCCCGATTGCTCGAAATCCTGCAATTTAATCCACACACACATTAATCCTTTTCGTTACAAAACAAAAGAAAAAAGAAAAATATATTCAGTCATTTTCTTACCCCAAAAATTGCATAGTTCTTCACAACTAAATTAATTTTAACTGAAGTCATTAATATTTATATAAAATATACAAAAGAAATACTGCAGAAATTAAAGCCTACGAAGAAAGGGCAAGAGATTAAAATTAATCTGAAATATTCCCATGAAAAATTAATATGGAATTATTATGCTGTTTTTATTTTGAATTTTTAAGTAATATGATGTCAAACAGGTACATTCTAGTTTACCATACAAATTAGTTCTGGGATTAATACGATAAAAAAAAATACAAAAAAATGCAAAACCAGGACTAAAATTCTTGGATCCAGATTTCATAGGATCTAAGGAGGGTATCAATAATATATAAATCCCTTAAAACTAAATGAAGAATTGAAGATATTTGGTTTGGTCCTCAACAGTTAACACACTTATGGGATGTTTGGAAAGCATCAGAAGTCTTCTGAAAAACATTTTTTTGTAAATCGAGATAAACTCTTCCACATATTTATTTTGCATACTGTAAAAATACTTTTAAAACTATGATTTTAATTCTATCCAAACACCCTAATAAAACTTACTTTCAATATGAGGAATCGACATGGATAATTTAATATATATATATATATATATACACACACACACACATATATGAACCTGACGTCTTACAGATTTCTTAATTAGTTCTTGAGGCGGCATTTGAAATATTTTATCTTGACAAAACAGGAGGAGGAAAAAAAAGAAAGTATAGTTTACTCCTCTGTGCCACGTTTGGATAAGGAAAGAAGGGGACAAGAAACAGAAGGCACGAGTCCTTTTTTTCCGGCTTCACCGGAGAGAGAATTCCTGGGCATCATGTTCGGTTGGAGGGCAATAATGTAATTTTATTTTCTATTTTGAATAATAATTCTTTCCCATCCCACACCCTAAAGCTGCTTCCTTTCCAACTATGACGGAATTAGATCCTAGTTGATCTGGAATTAAATATTAATTTATGCACGCACATCTATATGTATACATTATATTGCATAGATCTCTTCTTGTTCAGTCGAACTCTAATGTTGCAAGAGGCATATTCAAGTAAAAATTAAAATTTTTATTATTATTTTTGTTAAGTATTTCTTCCTTAGAGTTAATTTGATATTTAATTTTATTTTAAATATAAAATCTAATATCTCTCATATTTATCTATTTTTTTAAAGATAGTTTTTGTAGTAGTTGTATATATTAAAGATTTTATCAAATAGTAGTTTTAACTAATACACATAATAGGGCAAACAATACTATCCCTGGTCCTAAATATAAGAGCTAGTTGATTAATTTAAGTAGATTAAAAATAAGTTAAATTAATTATTTATAATAAATAGATATTGTGTTTCTTAAAATTCCTTGTTAATCAAGTGTATTGGCTTGAACTACTATTATTAGAAAAAACTATCATAAAAAAGATAAATATAAGAGATAAAGTGAATTATGATCTTATATTTAGGATCAAAATAAAATTTAAATAAGATCTTAATATAAGATCTTATATTAAGGGCCGAAAATAGTACATATTTATTACAAATAACTAGTTTAACTAATTTTTTTAATATACTCAAATTAGTTAAATAATTCTTGTATAAAGGACAGCTAGTAATAATATAATTAATTAAAATATATAAAAATTTATATTTAATTTTACAAAGATAATATTTAAATAAATTATTGTTACAGAAAATCTTTATGTATAAATCACAAATAACACAAATAACCAATTTTTTTCCTCTCTTTTAAACTTAAAAGGATGCCATTTAGCTGAACAAGAGAACGAAAAAAATTATAAGATTCCACAGACCAATTATATCATTTTTCAGAAAAATCATTATGGAGTACTGAAAAAAAAATATAACCACTAAAAAACTATTCTTCCTCCTTTTTCCCCACTCCAGACCATTCTCTTTTCTTCTTCTTCTTTGTTTGGCTCCCCTCATCGTGAAAAAAGGGTATATATATAGAAAATGACGCATCGAATCAGAGATAATAGATATTTATATTCATAAATGTGTTTTAAAATTAAATACAGGAAGAGAGCAGAAGAGAAGATGATCCGAAGAGAAGGGGGAGGAAGAGAGATTAAAAACCTTGAAAAGTCTCCCACGGATAAACGACGCCGTCGTGGTTCCTATCGAAGAAAGCGACGTGCTTCTGCAGAACGTTCTGGTCCAGAGGTATAGGTCTCTCGCTCACTGAATCAAACAAATCAAACAATCGGTTTCGAAACTGGAAATCGAATCGAATCGAAAAAAAATTAAAAGAAGCTGGCTGAAGGATCGAGAGTAGTACCTTCTTGAATGCTATTGTTATCGCTCTGGAAGGCGACGACGAAGCCATGAAAACGAACCGAGAAGAAGAAGACGAGGAAGAAAGAAGAGATTTCTGGAAATGAAACTGAGTTTGGGCCTAACGAACGGTTATGAACGATAATAGAATGGCTTTTGTGCTGTCTGGTTTGTGCGTAATTCTGAGTATAATCTCTGAGCTTATAAAGCAAGGAAATGAGAGAAACGTAACGCTTGAGAGAGCAACACGCCGCAAAATGGACACACCCACGCGCTCCCCCTTTCATATTACTTTTAGGGCTTATTTCCTTATTTGGGGCTTAGCATATATAATATAGATGGGAAATTTTAATTTTGGTAAGTCCCGTGTAAAAATCTAATTAGCTAAAACGATCTAATTTGAGTGGGTATAACTGTGATATGTGAATGTAATGTATTTTTTTGCTGTGTGTAAGATATTATCAATAATATATAACTATTATCAATATAAAAGTTATATATACAATAAAAGATATATTACGTTTACGGATCATTTTTACATGTGCTCAAATTTAGATTCTTTTAGCCAATTAAATTTTTAAACGGAAATTTTTTACCAAATTTCCTAATATTAAACTATTTGAATAAGAAATAATATATTGTATTTCTCCAATATTTACTTCTCATTACTTGTCTGCCTGTCAAGTGAGTGCACAAGATTATTTTTTTATCTCTGTGTGTGTGTGTGTTTGTAAAATTGTATGTGCTAAATTAATTTGTATCATGCGCTAAACTTTATCCACTCATTCTTTAAAAGAATGAAATAAAAAAATTCCAACATATGTTTTTGAGGCAGCAGGATTTGTATTACAGCGTTTGATAAATTTTTCATTGTCTTCTAAAAATAAGAAGATTAATTACAGTACAGGTAAACTCATATTAGCTAAAATCTCTATAACAATAAAATTATACTCATCCAGTCTTTAATGTAAGATCTAATTAACTAATTTGAATAGATTAAGAATGTTAGTTAAATTAATTAATATAATATTTTTTTAAAATACTCTAATTATCTTTCTTGATTCCTTTCTCTTTCCTACACTATTATTGCTGAGAAAATATCAATAGGATTAATTTGAAAAAAATTAATAAACATGTCAAATATGTCTTACATATAGGACTAACATGAACTCTGAAATTAGATCTTATATCAGGAACCGAAGGGAATTTGTTTTTTTTAATACAACATCAAAAGGCTACTAAACAAGAAGCATGAATAGGTGAATTTTACATTTAATAGGTGATATAGGAATAACATCGCATTACAATAATAAATTTAATTATCAGAAAATCGCCAGTATTATATGTACATATTATTGCTTTATCCGAAAGAATGTTTTGTCTATGTCAATCATTTATAAGCTTAATGAGATTAATTTTAAATTCTTTACATATATTAGATACGTCGTAATTGCCCTTAACTATGTCCACTCTAATCTATATTTCATGATGCTCCATCTCTTGACGTAATAAATCTGTGATTTTGAGTCATTTTGTTTCGATCGAGATGAAATCAAATCAACATATTTTGAAGAATTGATGCAAAAAATATCATAATTTTATGTTTTTTTTCCTTTTTTTTTTTAGGTTTCTGGGATGAACAAATGAAATTATATGGTTGAGTAACGATAATGAGATGGGGAAGGAGGAGCGTGAAAGGACGCGGATGAAAGGGGCGCGTGGGGGAGGGAGCTGAATTTGGGAAAGAAAGGAAGGATGCGATGGATATGTGCCGTGTGCTGGGGCAATAAGGCGTTCACACACAAAGTGGCGTAGAAGCATCTGTGAGGCACACGCATATATTTTGTCCGCTGTAAAGCAAAGGCCTATTAAGCTAATCCTTCTTAATTTGTCCTTATTTCTAAGTTTTCGTATTTATTTAAATAACTTCTTTATAAGTAAGTCACACGAATCTATTATAACTATTTAGTATTTTTCTGATTTTTAATATAAGACCTATTTAACTAATCTGATTAGATTATGAAAGTTGGATAAGTTAGTTAATTAAAAAAAATATTAGATCTTTTTTCTAAAATAGTATAATCATCTTTCTTAATATTTTATTTCTCTCTTCTACTTAATTATAATTGAGGGAATATCTATATAGGTACTTTAAGAAAATTGATGAACATGAGAAATAGCTATTATATTTAAGATAAAAATTAACTTAATAATTAGGTCCTATATTAAGGATCGGACGAGTATTTTATAAGATCTAAAGGACTTGAATGTAATTTTTTATCCTCGTGAAAGTGCCGGAATACCCTTTTAACTAACCAAGTTTAGCCCGCGTCGGATTCTATTGATTAGTAGCTTTAAAAAAAGAAAAAAGAAATGCATCTTAAAAGTAAGAGTGTAAGAATACTTTGAGTAAAAGATTATAAATTTAGAATATAAGGTAAAGACGGCACCTCAATTCATAAATTGACTTGTGCAGTGGTCTTTGAAATTGTGGTTTCTTGCCGTGAGTGGACAATGTACGTATAGCTCTCTTCATTCCCATTAATTTCTCAAACATATCTTAATTTTGAATTTCCAAAACCCAGATTTATTTTAAAAATTTGGCTTATTCTAAATATAAGATTTAATTTAGTCCTTTTTTTTTTAGTTTTAAATTTGTTTCCACGATTTTGGATATTTTAAAAGAAAGTGTTACAAATTCACTGCATCTTAATTATTAATAATTATTTTAACTATTTCTTTAAAAATTTTACGAATTCATTGAATGGCCCTTGTATTTAAGATAAGAAGGATCAACCTTTTCAACTTAGAATTTCTAAAGTTACGTCTTGCATGTGATATAATCATTATTATTTCTGGAAAAAAGATCACAATGAGAAGCAACTTTCATGCATAATGACTATTACGATTTTTTTTTCCCCAATTATCCTCATTAGACGGGAAAAAAAATCCTAAGATGGGATTCAGCAAGAAAAAGTCCAAAAACTATTGCTTATCGAAATCTAGAATAGTACTATCTAAGATATATGTTTGCAGCAGCCCAAAAAAAAAACCTTAAATATCATTGCTTCATGAAATTTCTAACACGAGTGTCTGGATAACTAATTTATAAAGATTAAAACGTTAATTATGTTTGTTAAAAAAAGTTAATTATATTAACTATCAGTAAAAGAAATGTGTTGATAGTTTAACTTTGCAGCGCAGCTTAATTTGTGGGTACTATAGCTATACGGCTATACCTACTCTACAAAATCATATAACTCCATTAACATCAAGTACTAACTCCGGCTCTAAACCGGAAATGGTATTATCAAAAAGTTACGCCAGCTCCGATGATAAGGATGAGCTGGTGGGATGCAAATGGAGAGCTGTGATTCAAATTTTCTTTTTCTTTCTTTGTGTTGGAAATTAAGCGCTCTCTCTGTATATGCTGTTTTTATTTCTTAATATAAAATCTTATTTGATTTTTATTTTAGTTCTAAATATAAGACCTTAATCTACTTTGTTTCTCATATTTATTTATTTTTTAAGATAATTCTTCTAATAATAGTAATTCTAACCAATAAACTTGATTAGTAAAGATATTTTAGAAAAGACAACACTTTTTTATTACAAATAATTAACTTAACTTATTTTCTTAATTTACTCAAATAAATTTTTTTTTCAAAATGTCCCTATTGATTATAAGAAACCCTCACTAAAAAAGTAATTTAAGTGCATATGATTAAATATAACAGTTTAAAAAGATAAATACATATTTATGATAAATAATTAAAACCTAATTAACTAATTTGAGTATATTAAAAATGTTAGTTGAATTAGTTAATACTACCTTCGGTCCTAATTATAAAATCTTATTTGTAAACTATAAAAGAGGTCTTATAATTAGGACAGGAGGGAGAATGATATTTTTTTTGTCTAAAATACCCTAAGTATCTTTTTAATTCCCTTCTTTCATCTCCTACTTAATTATTGTTGATGTAACATCAATATAATTAATTTGGAAAAAATTTTATAATTATATGAAATAGGTCTTAAATTTAGGATAAATATTAATTCTCTAATTAGATCATGTATTAAGAAACCGAAGGGTATTTTCAAATTAGTTATAAGCTCTTATATTATGGATTTAGGGAGAGAAAAAGAGTAGGGAGATGATATTACCAAAAAAGGGGAAAAAAAGAAAAGAAAGAAAGGGCAAGGCAATATTGGAAAGTGAGGGGTAAATGAGAAGGCAAATCTGGCTTTGATTGTTAAAAGTTCTTTGTTTTTTAAGGGTTAACAACTCTGTTTTTAAGATTAATTAAATGAAAGTTATAGGAATGTCGTGAATAACGTTGGGTGTGCTTTTTATCAATTATGGTGTCTCTAATCCAAATTATATGATTTTGACCACACAAACACTTACTTTAATTTGGTTGTTACACTGTCTTTTTGTGTGTTTCCATTATGTTGTGTATTCATTATTATCACTGTGCCCAAATTTATCTCTTTCCCTCACTTTTTTTTTCCCTTTTGCTTTTCTAATTGATGTGCCAATCCCCAATTTATCTAATCATGGGGCTTCGTTAATCGCAAATTATATGTTGTGATCTCTTTCAATTGTCATTAAAAGTTAGTACAATTTTTTATCCTTTAAATTTATCTTTATTTTGATTTTAGTTCTTCAAATTTCAAATCATAGGTTTTTATCCCTCAAATTTCTTTTCATTTAAAACATTAGTCTATATAATACAATAAAAATCTTGACCATTTTGCTCGTAGAGGGACCAAAACCTATGATTTGAAATTTGAGAGATTAAAACTAAAATGAGAACAATTTTAAGAGACTAAAGATGATATTAATTCTTTCCGCAATTTATTTCACTCCAAAAAAAGAAAATACTTAAAACGGTGAAACTTATATGCTTGATGTATGTTCGTTAAGTGGGATCAAAATTTATAAATAAACCATATAATTTATAAACTATGAATTATCAAATTTCATGTAATAAAAATATTCTGCATAAAATTACGAAAAAAGAAATCTCTCTGTTTGTTTTTTTCTTTTCAAATCAGTGAATAAGCAAAAGCGGTCTCATTCCAGATGCTTTGAGTGAAACTTCGAATAATGAGCTGTATTTGTTGACGTTCTTCTTCAATCCGAATTTCGGCCACCAATTCTATCCTAAAAATAGAATAGAATTTTGTATAGTCAAGAATATTGACAAAATTCATAGTAATCAATATAAAATGTATTACTACCTCTTGTCCTAATTATAAGACCCAACTGACTAATTTGAGGAGATTAAGGAAGTAAGTTAAGTTAGTTATTTGTAACAAATAAGTGTTGTCATTTCTAAAATATCCTTGCTAATTAAGTGAGTTGGTTAGAACTATCATTATTAGAAGGACTATCTTGGGAAAAAATGCATAAATATGAGAGACAAAATCAATTGGGGTCTTATAATTAGGACCAAACTAAAAGTTAAACGGGGTCTTATATTAAGGACCGGAGGTAGTATTATTTATGATCTGTGAACTATATATATATATATATATTATTTTTAATTTCATGTAATACAATAATTTTTTTCGATATGCAATACAAGAATTTTACATAACAAAAAGCATAAAAAGCCAAACTTTTCTTTTTATCTTTTTCCTTGTTATTTTGTGAATCTTTCTTTGTATCTGAAAAAAAAGATATATTCGAAACATTTCAATGAATAGGAAATAAAAAGTGATATCTTGAGCTATAATAGTTGTTTTTCTCTTTTTCATTATTCCAATTTTTCATTCAAGATATATATATATATATATCACTCCAAATTAGGAATAATTCATAGGATGACCAATTTAAATACTCGACAATTAAAGAAAGCAATAATATGGAGGGCAAAGGATCCAACATGATACAATTCATAAATCAATTATATTGAAGAAAGATTTCTGTTAGCCAAGAAATAAATTAAAGCTTCTTTGATGAAATCTTCACTAACAAATTAATTTGTCTTTTTGTTACTAACATGTAATAATCTACTACCTCCGGTCCTAATTAGAAGAGCCAGTTGACTAATTTGAGGAGATTAAGAAGTAAGCTGAATTATTTATTTATCATAAATAGGTGTTTTCTTTCTTAAAATATCCTTGTTAATCAAGTGTATTGACTAAAACTATCATTGTTAGAAGGGCTACTTTGAAAAAAATGTATAAATATGAGAGACAAAGTGGATTGGGATCTTATATTTATGATCAAAATAAAAATCAAATAGAATCTTATATTAAGGATCAGAGATAGTACTAAATATTAATAGTGTACACGAAAAGAAAGTTGTGTACTTGGCTTAGTGAAGAGGGCACTTTATATCCTAAATGATTTTGACAACGAGGCCATGCAAAGCAAAAATTTTGGAATCTCAAAGCCTGATGTATACAATACAAGCCCTTAATCATGGTCTCTTCCTTAGTTGTTTATACTCTTTTGGTACTTAATATAAAATTTATTTAATTAATTTTTTAGATTAATAAAATTAGATAAATTACTTAATTGTAAGAAATATGACATGTTTTTCTCAAAATATCATAATCATTTTCCTTTATATTCTTTCTCCTTCTTTTACTTAATCATTCTTAAAGAAGTATCAAAAGAGGTAATTTAAAAAAAAATGATAAATATGATAAATAAGTCTTATATTTAGGACTAAAATCAACTTAATAATTAAGTTATATATTAAGAACTGGAGGAGTATTGAGTATGAGGTAGGGAAAAAATAATAATTAAGACAACTCTTCAGCAAATTGGATATAATTTGATGAATAAGCCTTGGATTTGGTATAATTAAGCTAGGGAAGACTCAAGAAATTTATTCTTTTGGGAGTACAATTTTATAGTATATGAGATAAATATATGAAAATAATTTTTAGAGACTACACAATTTAATAAAAAGAAGTTAATATTCCCATCACATGCTCCTATGGAAAGGGGAGAATTTCTTTTCACGTCCGTCATCAGTTCCATGTTTTCCCCCTCAAAATACCAAACACTATGATGCAAGAGAGATATATCAACTTTCCTACAAACACAGTGTGAAAAGGAGTGCAAAGGGCTAACTACCACGTGGCTCTCACATAAATTTACAAGATTCCTTTCTTTTCTTTTCGTTTTCATAAATACTACTCCCTCCGTTCCTTATTATAAGAGACAAATAACCGATTTACGTTGATCAAAAAAACAGTTAAAATTAGTTAAGAACAATCAATATGTAAAAAGTATAATTCTTTTTCCAAAACTGTCCTCATTAATAAGGAGAGAGAACATGAGAGAGAACAATTAAATTATTAAAAGAAAGAGAAGTAGGAGGGAGAGAGAGTGTGAGTTGGAGATAATAAATATGGGTAAAATAAGAAATCAACAAAAAAAAGTAGAGACAACTTTTAAGTGTCTCTTATATATAGGAACATGTCATAAGTATGAAATGTCTCTTATAATAAGAAACGGAGGGAGTACTTTGTTAGCTTTATTATCTGACATTCACCCCTTTTTAACTGTTGTGCCCTCCAACCTGCACGTAATACATAATTATTATTTGTTGGATTTCAACATGTGTGTATTTGTTGGATACCCGGGGACCACACGTGCAGATCTCTGTATTGGGCCAAAATATAAAATGTGTGACAGATCAGCCATGTTCTGCAACACCCGTCATTGAACAATTAAGAAATCTTGTAAATTTATGCACCCTGTACTTTTCCCCAGTTAATAATCTGCTACATTGTACATAATCAATCAATGGTTATAAAAAAAATAAATCCAAACCTGATTTAATTGGATAAACAAGTCATGCCTCGTTCAATAAGTCACCAGGGTTTTTAAATAAAAAAGGTGTTCTAAAGTAGAAGATAACTCACCACAACAGAATCCATCCACTAGCTAGTAAATTCACATAACCTGTGATTTATGATTCAATGCCTATGTTCATTGTTGCATGTTTTATTTCCCTTTCAACTCATAGAACTTCCATGCTTACTTGCTTCCTCATATTGGAACATCTCTTCAAACCAATCTTACATTTTATGTTCTTCCAAGGATGCTGGTTTACACTGACCACTCGATTTTTGTACAAATAACGTTCCGTTTCCTTCACTTCTTGGATTATACTCCTAATTTCCTATATGTCAATATGATATGCCATTTGGGAAATCGAAAATCTTGGAACAGAAGTCAACACCTTAAATAACAAGTTAGGCAAATTCAGAAAGAGTCATACATATACACAGATCCAAATCAAAGAAAGGAGAATTCCAAAAGTTACAAATAGTACGGTTTCCTATATCTTTTATAGCAACGTTGACGATTCCAAAAGGCAAACTCTCACTATAAATATCTTGAATATAGAATTCTAAATTGTAATTTCCCAGAAAATTAATGGACAAGATGACCACCATCTTGGACAGCTCCACGTTATAGGTTCCATACCGTAACTGGTCCATAATTACATTTGTAAACGCATTCTCCCATACTGGAAATAATCTATTGAATATAATAATTATTTACATAATTATTCGTAGATCTTGACTGGATTACACAATGCAGCATCTCACCACCATCCCCTTTTGATCAATTCTGCCGTCGTCATTGCCTGAAAGACATATCTCATCTGTCAGCTTCACGCCAGATAAGATTAAGATCATGACTCGAAATAAGAACCAATGAACATGCACAAGTTCATTCCAAACTTGTGTATAAATCAGCAAGCATAGGTCAAGTGAGACAGTAAAGAAGCAAAAATGTGATATTAATCCTGAAGCTCTTCTGTCAACTTTAGCACTCAACATTGAAATTAGTCATTTTGATCCGTAAGTTTGACATGCCAATGTGTTCATGACCTTGCTTCATAGGTGAGCAATGAAAACAGTTTAACGAAAAACAATTGTTGGCTGTTTCTTTATTTTTAAAAATAATAAAATATTTTCAGACCAATTATGCAAGATCACGTTTCAAAATCTCGAAGTCTGGCATTACTCCCCAGAAAAAAAGTGTTGCATTATCTCAAATCGAGACTAAACAAACAGTCAAGACTCAAGATATGCACTCTCCATCTACAAACCTCGTGTTCAACTACTCATAAGATTCAAGGAAGTATGAGATATTTAAATCCACACCAAGTAGTAACGGCTCAATGAGATATTTAAGGAAGCCCTTAGACCTCAAGCTAACCCAAAAAATTCACACATTTTAAAATAAGCAAAATATAGAAACACAATCAAACGCTATAAAAGTGAGATTGGCAGACCTTCAGGAGGCTGAGTTAGCTTTCGGTTTTGAGGAGACATCATCTCTTTCTTTAATTGCATCAATATGTCTTCCATTGTATGCTCCCGTTGCCAATTAGCAAGCATGGGAAATAAATGAGGTTCAACCTGATAATTAGCTATTTATAAGATCATTGTCAATCAGAGCAGCCAGAAAAGAGCCTTAAAAATATTCATCCCTACCACGCCAGTTTCATGGTTGACACAAGTCATGTTGATCCTTGTTTGAAATCTAACAGAAGGTGGGTTTTCAGGATAATCCTTGCCACAGAACAATTTCAACTGGTAAATACGCCCTTCATGTACAGTCTGTAAAGCAACAAATTGAACCAGGCAAACAATTCAACGTACATGGTTAGGAATTGAAAACCACAGTTTCCATAAAATGACAGTCACATGGAAGGAAAAAAACTTACACATGACCGCAGTTCTAGGGGTGTTATGCAAAAACATATCTCTCAGATTAACTATAAATGCCATCAGAATAGTAGTAACTCACTAGAACACATCTTTATATCATTCTGAACTGTTAGACTGGAGATATAGACATTGAATTCTTGGAAAAGACTGACAATCACAACTACAGAAATTTTCAAATGAGTGACAAAATTTGAGCCATCTAGTTGATCAACTTATGAGCATTTACCAAAGGGAATGACAAAAATAAACCATTGCATATCACGATCATAATATATCTATATATATATTCCCTCTTGTGATTTGTAATGATTTGCAACTGCCTGTCCTAACCCCTATTAGCCATGTTGATGATACAAATATACTATAATCATCTTGCAGTAACATAACATACTTAAGCTACCTGATATGTTAAAAAAAAGAAAAAAAAAACTACTTCCAGAAAAATAACGCCAGCACAACCACCATAAGATCATAAATGCTCTCACCTCAGTTAACAAGTACACAAGAACATTTCCTGATGAGTAGCATATACCATGATCTGGCACAAATACAATGTGCTAATTTCCATGTCCAGTGAATAATATGGAGAATTCGCATTTATAATCCCAAAGATTGCGACACTTCAAAAGAATTTGAAGAGAAATTAATCAGGGTAAAGACTAGCTTACACCAGGGGGGCCAATGATAGTTCCAGTCCATGATTGCATGTATACATCGTCAGCATCATCCATTCCATAGCTGACAGTCCCGTCACCAATCCCCTTTTCACCTCTCTCAAGCTCTTCCAATAATCTGAAATTTCTAGGCACTGCATATACCCAAAATTTTGACCAGATAAATGAAATTCACTGGTATATTTTCCAAAGAAAACTTAGGGAACATGAAACTGTTGTATTGACTAATAGTATACTAATTGACAACTTAAACTTGCTGTAAAAAAAAAAAGGAAGAAATAAAATGAACAGACTACGTTGCAAAAATTAGGTTGCGTTTAATAGATTCCAAGTACGCACTCAGTCACCTTATAAATTCGCCAACTACAAATTCTTAACAAGGTGTGAGCATAGACTAATGATGGGCAAATCTTACATGCAGTTATTACCATAGGCGAATCTCACATGTAGTGATTACCATAGTGCACACGTAAGAAAATGGGGGGGAAATGCCAGAAGATCATTTCCTAACAAACATACAAACTAAGATCGAAGTGCAAGCTCCACAAAGAATTGCAACACAGAATGCCAAATTCACAAATGACAAGGTTGAACACGCATCACATGATATTACATAGCATCCATATTACGACGGAGGAAAAGTGATTTGAACATCCAGAAAGTAAATTGAGTGCAGAAAATGCCAAATTCATAACGCAGTAAAGCAGGACACAAGTTACACGATGTCACATCACTTAACATATTACAAGGGAAGAGAAAGTGAATTGCCCACCCACAATCAAAGGAAAGCAATTTATTGTCCAGGACTACAGAAAACTTTGGAACAAGGGGCACGAAGCCTTGTGACTTAGAACAATTAGAATCTTCCTTCTTTCCAAATATAAATTAAATGCAATTTGGCTTCTCCTAGAATAGGGGAGGTGCTTTAGCAGAGTTTCATCTAGGGGTGTTCATGGAGCCCAGTGACCCGCTATGCCCGCCCAAGTCCGTAAGAAAATGCCCAGCCCGTCCTAAAAAAAATGGCCCAAAAGATATATTGGGCATGTTCGGGCTGGGTAAGTTGTCGGGCAGGGCTGGGCATCGGGCACAGTATGCTGCCCTGCCCATTTGGCCTTGCCCGCAAAAATATATATAATTTTATTTATATATATTTTATTTGTCTCATATTTATCTCCTGAATCAAACACATTGTTGTATCAATATTCAATATTCATCATACTTATTTATTTTCAAATGATTTTTTTTATAACTATTTTCAAATGATTTTGAGAGTAAATGTGTTATCATTTACTGCAATTTGTATAACTATTTTCTTTTTTAGTACAAACATTATGACCATTAGCAATTTATATAATTGATCCATGCTCTTATGAGTATTTGGGAGTTATGGAAAAAAAATATTTACATTTGGTGGAGAAATTTTAGAAATTAGAAAAACAATTAAGTTTAATAAAGTATACTAACAACATTTTTATTTGTCATAATTTACTCCTCTTAGCTACTATAAAATGTTGTTTCATAATATATTAATTAGAAATAACTAAATTAAGGTCAAGTTGCCATTTTAATATAAAGTTACATTAAATTATCTAGAGGAACATAAATAACTAGTTAAGTAATATAGTATATTGATTTATTGGGCATGGAAGCCCGTCCTGCCCAGCCCGCATTTGCCCAGCCCGAACTTACTAGGGCTTTTCATGGGCAGGGCGGGATAATGGGCTGTATTTTCAAGCCCGTTCATTTTTGGGGCTGGACATCGGGCAAGGATCCTGCCCAACCCAACCCTGCCCATGTGCAGCCTTAGTTTCATCTATGAATTTAACGACTAAGATGTACACCAAATGCAACTTCACTACGAAGTTCCTACTGGAGGCTGCAATGAAGCTTCAAACTAAGTATCTATCGTAAACTCATTCTCTACCAATTCGCAAATAGTATATCATGACTATCCACCTTCCACCTACCTTCTTTAGTACGTAGGCATTGCAGAAACTAAATATTACGATTCGATAGTAACAAATCATAAGATTTTGGCTACTATCAAGGATAAGTTAACTTTTTTAATGCATCAGACAACAACTCAGGCCTGTGTCCGAGTTTAATGACGCTGATTTTGTTAGAATTCGTAACAAGACATCGATTGCCGGAGCACTAAGACCTACGCAATATCGCGATGGACAGTAAGCTTTCTGGATATAAGAAATAAGAAATACCGCAGTAATTCACACCCCGGAGATCAGTGTCTATCAGAGCCATTGACCATCGTCTGGGTACGACTCAATTAACATACTTAAAGAACAAAACAAACAAAAATAAAAACCGAATCTCCGTAAGAAAATCTAGCACTGTTTATTTACAACTAAACAAAATAAAGGAAGATAACGTCCAATCCAAGTTTGGCGCAATGGATGTTAGAAACCACTAAAATTTGCACAGCCGAAAAAAATCAGAGACGAACAACGAAAAAGTTAGGAAATCTAGGTCTTCAAAAACTCACCAACTACCCTTGATGATCCTTCGGAACCCATGTTTGCCGCTGATCGTGCACCCTCAAAAGGGCTAGGGTTTTGCGAATCCCAGAGAGAGAAAGCGGGCAATTTTGCGCAAGAGAGGAGGAGGAGGAGATAGAGAGAGAGAGAGAGCGCGTTTATGATCACTGTAGTCCAACAAAGTTCACCTACTGTTGGACGAAGCTGAAGAACCTTTACATGTAACCCATAGAAAACGACAAATAAATGAAGAGGGATTGGATTGGATGGGAGATATGTGATTGTCTGCGGACTTTTCTATACCCTGCCCATGGACTACCAAATTCGGCCAATCACAGGCCGTTTTGAAGTCGGGGAAGGTTCTTGCTTGCCCCATACTCAAACCCAAGGATCAAGTTTTAGTTAATAACGATAATAAAATATAACCAACAAGTTTTTGATTGAGTTGGTAAGCCATCTTATCTTCATAAAAAATCTCAAGAAGCATGTTTATTATGAGAATTTTAACTTTAACACTCCAAATCCGATAAAAATTGATCTCAATTTCAAAGTCACTTAAAAAATTTTTGACCTTACACCAAAACAATAATAATAAAATATATGGGAACTTTGGGCATGTCATATATGGATAAGTTGATGGGATTTGATAAAATTACAAAAATTATAAAATATTTGATATGATATTGATGTAATAAAAAAATAATTTGTCTTTATATAAATGTCATATTTCTACTAGCCACGAGCGAAGAGGTTTTGATGATTTCCAGTTTCACAAGGAGCTTAGTGAATTAATTATTTGATGTCTGATATGATATGTCAACTGGAGAATTAAATGCCCAATTATCAAACATTGATTTTTGCACAATCTCCAAGTTTGACCTTGAGCTTATCAAATGTCACATCACTGTTATAAACATCAAATACTTATAGCCTACAATTTTAGGTAAAGTGACAAGAAGGGCGTGTCCTTATGAAAGTCAATGTAAAATAAAGATAAAGCTCGCAAAGCAATGTCGTCATGTTAATCACAAATGTTTTAAGTAACTCTTTATGCTTAGTTTCCACTAATGAAAAATGCAGGCATTTCAGACAATGTCACATATGAAAAGAGTATTCATCTCTTTGGGCTGATCAAACATGCCAAGTACACTTCACATACATCTTCAAGCGAGACTTCGATATTCTGTGTGTAATCCCGTGATTCGTTTTCTTTTGCCCTTTTTTCCCCAACTGAATTATACGTCAGTAATATTTCATTGTTTGTGTACCTGTTACTATTTTTATTCAATATAAAATGTTGTAACTTAGAAATCATCTACCTTTCTATAAATTTACCTTATAAATTGCTTAGTATACTGATATATTAATGTTGATGCTGATGCTAACTGTGTTTTTCCCTCGCATAATGGAAGAAATAGTTAAATTTACTGTGTACCACACATTTAGGATTTTATACAAAACTAGACATGAACTGATGAAAGTCGTGAAAACAGAATGAGTTGTATTGCTTTTCCCTCATGAATATAACATATTGATATTGATTAGCCATCTAAAATTGCAGCTACATTTCCCTAGAATATGAATCTGAGTGCCAAGGTTTGTGTACAATTTTAAAATTACAGAAATAAATACCACTTAATCCCAACCCATGAATAGCATCAAAATTGTCTTTTTCACAAGATACAACCTACTTTCACTTGAGGCATGATCAAATAGGCAAATGCACAAAGACATCAATCAGCAGCTACAATCAATCTCCATGGATGGTATAACGTTCCCATTTCTTTGTTGGATCGTATATCTGCAATAGATAAGAATTGTCTTTTAAAAAGAAATTCTAATTAAAAATCAGAATTAAGACGGTTCGAAAACCAAGAAAATAAAGATTAATAGAACACAAATATGACACTTCAAAGACAAAGAATCAAACTTGTGTCGTACACATCGAGTCCATGCTTTTCAGCCTTAGTAGAGAAAAGAAGAAAACATGGTATTGTATCAGAGAGCAATAGTACCTCCCATCTTGAAGCAGGAAATATATGCTTGTTCTTTTCGTACCAGTGCCTTTCTACAACTTTACCGGCATGAGACTGAAAAGAACCATCAAAGCAAGAAATAAGCCAGAAGAAAATACAGGTGGAGTAGAGTGCCTCACACAAACATGCATACAAAAGTAGTGATTACAAATATGGTAAAATGAAAATTCAACAACCTTGCAAGAGAACTTTTGTATCTCCTTTTTTTCACTTTCTGTTTTTAGCAACACAACTAAGAGGCCGTTTGAAATAGCTTATAAGCAATTTTTTAATTGTAATTTACGAAATACGAAATAAGTATGTGAAAAGACTTTTGTCTCAGCATATGTAAAATGTACTTATAAGTTTGAACGTGATTCCAAAGAAGCCCTAAGATAGCGTCCAAACAAAAGAATTATTACTTCCAACTTTTGTAACGGGTGCGAGTATTGAAAACTGATATGTGATCAGCATTAATTCTCCTTTTATATACTCTACCCAAGAAAATGAAAACTGTCCTTTTATCTTCAGATAGAAGTCAAAACGTCTGACATACTGCATAACATGAAACCCTATTTTTCAACAGAAAAACATATTGCACAAGTGCATTTATTGCATTCGTGTAACAATTAATTTCAAGCCTATCTCCTTTCCCCTTTTTGTATGGATTCAAGGTTCATGTTTCAACCCAAAGACATCAGTTTCTATTCCAATAGATTGTAGCTCGTAAAGAGCTGAAGCTAAAACAGCTAAAAATAACATCTGCTTCATTAAACCTCAATCACTTGCAAGCTTAGCTTGTATAATGCATAAGCTTCTTTCGATAACACTAGCAACAATTTAGTTAATGACTAATTTTGCTAAATTGAAGCATGAGCAAATAAGAAAACTTCACATTCTCCCAAGACCCTCACTATCACCTTAAAATTCATTCATCTAAACATGATGAAGAAATTTCAGGTAGGTGAATGGTGATGGCTACGGACGGCTGAGGATTAAAAGGCTTACAAAGAAGTTCAATGGCATCTTGGAAAAGGATGTCAACGTGCTACTTCAATATTTTTCTAGTCACTCTTTACAAAACTGATGTTTTACTCATTCCCCATTCTCTAAACTTTATAGTGCCGTCCTTAGTTGTATGATTATCTTCTTTTTATATAATTGATCATTTTATCTAAAAAATAAAAAAAGAAGATCAAACAATTTCATCAGCAGATTTAAACACCGCCAAGATTAGTGCATACTGATACCCAAAAATACAAAACAGAGGCTAAAGTGAGCAGAGTTGGCAGTATCAAGATGACCTCAACAAGCCCGGCCATCATGATATTTAATTCCAAAATAATAGCCATAATATTAAGGAAGAAAACCTACCTCATCCTTCTCTATTGTTGCATCGGCAATTGTTCGGACATCCTCATGCACATCAAAGTGGAAAAGCTACATGGAATTAATCACAGAAATAATTAGTAACGTCAATTTGGCATTGTAAATCATTACAAGTTGTAGTGAAATTATTCTCAAATTTAGGATCGCATGCGGGTAATAACTAGGGTGATGAGTGTATAACAACCCTCTACTATAATAGATTACAGAGCAAAACCCAGCATTTATCACAAGGCGAACCAATTTAAAGTTTCGGAGTCTCAAATTCATTAACTACATTCCGGCCCAGAACAAGCACAACATAACCCTAATCAGTAAATCGTCAAAACCAGAACACCAAAACATGCCATTTACACCACGTAATAGTCAGTTCAATAAAATGATCTGCTTTCTGCACTATGAGGTTAACAACCAATGCCACTTTTGGAGAAAAGAAAACTTCTCAAAGAAATAAGAGAATACTGGGTCAGGGTCAGGATTCTCCCTCCTTATTGGTCTATCTTTCAAATGATGTATCTCCTTTCTTCTATTCATTTACCATCTTGTTTTCCTCCTACTTCCTTCTGCTGAGAACCTCTATCCTACAGCTCATATTTTCTTGTGCATCAGCAAAAGAAAAGAGGAATTAAACCTAATGACAGAGCTCTAAAATATGCTCACTAATATATTTTTTCTCAATTTACAAAAACCATTTAGAAGTGGATTAGTAATGCATGAGGATCCTTCAATAAGAGAATTAATCTGAACTAAAAGCAAAAAAGAAGGCAAACATACAGGTCCACTTTTGCCTCGAGCCTTGTTCACAATCAACTCATAAAAGCTGTGTTGCTGTGACATGAAAAAAAATAAAATAAAAATACTATGTTAGCACATACCACTTTACCCAGAGAGAAAACAAGATGCAGGATATCCTACACAACTTAGATAGGAAGGATAGCAGGTTGTATGATTGTACACAGTCTAAAGTACATGTTCTTACATGGGGAATGATAAGATCTTCTTTCACATAAAGCAAATTTTCCACTGATGTTGTTCGAATCTCCCGAAACTCAGGAGCCAATTGCTGCTGAACAGCACGAAGAAACTCTCCTATGGTATCACCCTTACGCACCTTAACAAAATAAAAATGATTCAGGTGCCAAGACATTTATAATGCATTAAATGTAAAATTAAATTCTGGAATTATTAGAAAAGAAAAATTGAAGCTGACAGTCTTTGTTTACCTGGATCACACGCCTATGGCCAGCTCCATCCCAGTAGCTGTATGTAATTTGAAGAGGTTCATCTGAAGCACAAGAACACAGTTATGCATCATTTATTCTCTAATCTGATTAGATTCCAGAAATCAACTTTTTATTCTTTATTCGTTATTGTAAAATGGAAAATATATGAATAAGTTGGCAGACTCACTTCGTATCTGCTCCTGCTCAAGAAGCCACTGTTTGCACAGCCTTTCCCGCTCTGCTTGTTCCTCAGCCTCTCGCTCACTGAAACAACATTATCCTATGCCCAAATGTTAACGCCAGTGCCACAACTATAAAGAAAAGGAGAATTTGGGGTGGGAAAAGGACAAGAGAGAGATGCAACACCTGTCAGGGAGAAAGCTAGTTTCAACAGTAGGGTCTTTACCAAGTTTACCACGTCCAAGTTTATTTGTTTCCAGACTCTCTGCCAATGCCAAGGAGAAGATTGATGACTCAATGTTATTTCTAAGAAAAGGAAACCACCAAATGGCTACATGGTGTCAAACATCCGCATTCCATATATTTAAATGTTCATTAACATTTTTCTAACATACCCTA